TATCTCCGCCATGAGAGAGCGGAATGCATGTAGACCGCTATGAGAGAGAGCGGTCTCCGCAACGAGAAAGCGGAATGAGAATGAATAGAAAGAAAAGAAAAGAAAGAAAAGAAAAGAAAGAAAAATGAGAATTTGAATTAGAAAATTGATAAGAATACGAAGAGAATTGATGCGTAATGCACGGGGATGATAGATTAAGAGATTTTTTACTTACTGGGCATCTTTGTGCTCACTCCGTTGTTTTCTTTGTTGTACAGGAAATAGGTGAGGACCTGGTCAGATGGACGTCGGCAAGCGGGGAGACTTGGCTGCACTGTCCACTGTTTTCGTTTTTGAGAGTCTTTGTACACATGATGTTTTGTTTTGTAAAGAATGTAATTATTAAGTAAAGAAAATTTTTTGGGCCGAACAGTTTTGAGAAATATGCTGTCTTTTTATTAATCTATATTATGATTTTGGTAGAAGAAAGTAGTTGTTACAGTGGACACGTCGTTCAATGTAAAAATTCGGTGCAAAGCGTCGATGTCCGTAGCATTATTCAATACATATTCATCATTTACATGCATATATATTCTCATTCGCCCCATAAAATTAGAAGTTTAAATCAATCACTCAATCGAGTCTTTGTTGCAATAAATTAGAAATGGCACATTAAATTAAATAGAGTATTAACTAAACCACATGTCAAACACCCACGTCAAGGGTAGCTTGAATTGAATAATTTGCCTCAATTTTTTAATTTCATATGATCATATATTGTATATACTTTAGTACGTGACAACTCAAAAGAATGAAAATGTTCCAAAAAGGATGAGACAACTGCTTGTATGGTCTAAAAATTATGTTATTCATTAATCAAATATTGGTCGTATAGTCTTTTATATATATATATATTAATTTAGTCAAGTTTTATTAGTCTAGAGTTATTATTAGAAGTTGGAGTAGTATTATGATTAAGTATTACTAGGTATGATTAGGAATATTACTCATTAGGATATTATACCATTAGAATCTTTTTAGGATTAGGAATTAAGATAATTTGTAAGTCTATATAAGAAGTCTTAAACATTGATTATCATTGTATTTTTATTGGATTAGAACATATTCTAATATGCTAAATTTCTTTTCTTTTTCCAAATTAAGAGTAAATTGTATGCAAAGATCATTGGCCAAGTTGCTAAACATTAATGAAATAAAATTAAAAAAAAAAAAAAAGACCAAAGGAAAAACCATTTTTTTTTTTAAATGGGTATCGTGGGATTCAAACCTACACTCTTTTCTCAACTCTTCCCTTTAAACACTCAAGCAAATGTACCCATTTATATTTTTTCCTTACTAATTATATATATTTACTTTGTTTGATATATCTATCTAAAAATACAAATTCACAGCTAAAGTGTAAGGGAAACAATTGCGTTTTAGAGTGTGTTTGTCCCCTCTCCCTGCTTCTTCTCCTTCTTGCGTTTTATTTTTCTTCTTTCAAGATTTGGTTTTCCCAATTCAATTTTACAAAGAAAAGAAGAGACCAAAAGCGGCACCCAATTCAATTTTTCCCCTTTTCGCCCAATTCAAAATTTCCCTTTTTTGTTGTAACATCGAAGAAAATTAGGAGACTCAAAGGAGAGTTCTTAAGGACATTCTCTTTTTTCGTTTTTTGCCCTACTCAATTTTTCCCTTTTTGTAACCATGGCTGACTCAAATATTTTGTCACTAATACCTCCATTATGACATTTATAAATGATAATTTTTTTTTTTTTTTTTTGGTAATGATAAATAATTCTTTTGTGATAAATTTATTTGTAATTATAGCATGTATTATTAGATATAATGACTAAAGTTTTTTATGACAAATATGTTTGTTATGAAAAACAATTTATCTCGACGCTTAAATTTTGACTCAAATATTTTGTCATTAATACATATATTTAAGCATATATTATGACAATTTTTTTTAATAATAAATAAATTCTTTTGTGACAAAATAATTTGTGATTAGAGCTTGTATAACTAAATATAGTAATTAAAATGTTTTATGACAAAATAAGTTTGTCATAGAATACCTAGGCACCAAAATTTGTTGTAAAAAATTTGTGACGAAATATTATGATAAAAATGTCTTTCTTCACTACATTTATTATGAGTCTCTTTATCATGATAAAATATTATGACAATATTTTGTTTAATTACTGTATATTCTCTTTGTCATACTTAATGTGATATTTCTTTATTTTGTCATAATAATATATTACTCCTGACAAAATAACATTTGATAAAATTAATTTTGTCACAACATAATATATTTCTTGTAGTGCATAGAGTTGGTTTCTAGAATCAAAAAATACTTCTAGAAACCAAGGGGCCTATGTAGTGCTGATATTTTGCAAGAGTAATTTGGACATTTCACTTGGGGAATATTCCAACCCTTACCTTATAATGTAATTACTATAATGGGAATTATCATATAATGGGATAATGATCAAGGGAAAGATGGTGATAATATATACTTAGGATTATCTCCTAAATAAGAGATTTCCTATCACCCTACTGCCTTATCAAGCTGATCCCCTAGCATGTAAGGACTCCTACACCAAGGAGGAAACTCAATCCAAGGCAATCTCCTTCACACTACATAAAGGATGGTTTGTACCAGGTTTTAGACATTTAGAACCCACTGAATTAAGCTTTACACTGTTTTACTGCTTATTGATGTGTATGATTTCGTTCACAAGCAAAAATAGCAAGCGCACTAATCGCAAAAAGTAATAAAGAGGTGAAGTGAGTATCGTCCCACAGAGATTGTGAATTGACTACCAAATTTTCTAATCTATTACTAATTGAAGGGCACAAAAATTGGATTTATGGGAGACAAAATGAATTAAACTAAAACAAAGTATTAAAACTTGCAAGAATTGCAATTAAAACTAAATTAATGCAAATGGATGAAATTTACTTAAAACATAGAAGTTAGGGCTTCTAACTTCACCAAGTTACACTAACTTGACCTATGAATTCCAATTGTTCAAATTCTATTGTGATGACTAAAAATCAAACTCCTAAGATGTTTGACACTAACTCTCGGGTTATACCATCACACCTATTCCTATTTCCTATTAAGCCTCCGCACCCAAAATTTGAGGTTTGATAGTTCAAGGCCTCTTAAGAGTTGTGGAATCCTATCAAGATTACAAAGGTCACATTTATCTATTTCTAGTATTCGCTCAACCTAAGGTATTAATTCTTAGAAGTCACACATGAATCACTTCTCAACCTCAACATGTTCAACAAGTCAGTTGAATGAAAACTTAACACAATAAAAATAGAGATAAATATTTAATCACAACAATAGAACTTAAAAACAATAAGAAATTTATAAATTAAGCAAGTAAAATCAAGGATCCATCAAAACCCTAACTAAAACAAGTTAGTTCATGATAAAAACGAAATCTAACATAACCAAAATAGAAATATCTGAGTTCAACATAGAAGCAATTGAAAAGAGAGAGAAACTTCTTTGATTTGAAGCCCAAAGCTTGAAAATCTCTTCTTCTCTTCCAAAATCTTATAAAAATGACGAACTTTCTAACAAAATGACTAACTTTTTCTTAAATTCTAACACAAAACCCTAGGACAAACCGCCATTTAGTCAAAATGCGCCATTTAGAAAAACAGAATTTTTCCAGTTTCGCCGTGGCAAAGCTTTTTCTTCGTCGCGGCGAAGTTGCTTTACTCGTAACTGCTCGATATTCTAGGAGAAACTTCATTGCAACGAAGGAAAAACCTTGCCGTGGTAAAGTGCTGTTTTTTCTAGCTAAATTTACGAAACTGCCCTCAGCTTGCTTTTTCGCTTGAATCTTCAATCTTCTTGGTTTCCGGTCTAAGCAAGAGCCAAGAGTGCTTCCAACTCAGAACTTCTCCAATCTTCTGAATTATGATCAAATCTCGGTCAACGAGCTCATATTTGCTATGTTTCTCTCCAAAAGCACGTTTAGGCTTGAAACATAAAATATACTGAATTAAGTAACAATTTAGGCCAAAATCCAATGAGAAGCATTAAAAATCCTAATAAAATCATTTGGAAAACAATATAATTGTAGGATTATCACTTATTTATGTCTCAAATATTGTGCTGACTTGAGCGTCGGAGTGTCAATACTAGGAAAACTGCTAGTGCACCCCTGACCTTTGTTTTGTCTATCATAGGGTATCATTGACTCCATAGTTGAAACAATTTCCAAAATCTATCCACATCAGAAATCAACCTCACGAAGGGCTTTTTAGAGATTCCAGTGTTTGGTGCAAAATCCTACGTGAACACATATAGAGAGCAATTCTCTAGTCAAGACCATACTTGATCACCATTAAATCCTTATATATAAAATATAATTTCAATCCAATTAGTGAATCCAATAGTATTCAAGCATGACCCTGATACAGTTATACTAGGATAATGTATGTATGTATGTACTATGTATGGAACATAATAGATTTTAACCATTAAAGATAATATTAATTAAAAATATAAATGCAATTTTAACCAACTGAAGTAAAATAGATATAACAAATTAATTGATCCAAACTTATCTTAACTTTTATTTTATAGTTTATGAAGTTAAACGAAACTTTATTTTGTTTATAAAATTATGATATCTATAATAACAAATGTTAATAATAATTTTAGTATTAATTTAAAAATTAAATAACCTTAACTGATAACATCCTTTATATAAACTCAAGTGGTGAGAATAGAGTAATGTTACAGTTATCGAAAGGTATACATCAAATTTGTGCACCGAATGACGTGACAAAATTTAACCGTTGATTCATTATAAGTTAACATTAATCAACGATCAAGATTTTATCACGTTATTCGGTATACAAATTCGATATGTAACTTTCAATAATTCTATCATTTTTCGGTGAGAATATTGGATGAATTTAGTATCTTTTTGAAAAAAATTATATAAACTCAACGGGTGAGATTACTGCACTGGTAGCAGGGAAAACCCAAAACGACTCCGTAGAGCAAAGCCATTTGTGAAACACCCGTACGGGCGGTGACGCCACTCAGACTCAGCACTCAAAACGCAAACAAAACAAACTGTAGCCAAACAAACCAAAACCAGAACCATCTATCAATCAGAGATCATGGAAGTTCCCGGATCATCGAAGAAGATGATAGCAACGCAAGAGGAAATGGTGGAGGCGAGAGTCCCCATTCCGTACAGAGATCAATGTGCCCACTTGCTCATCCCTCTCAACAAATGCAGACAGACCGAGTTCTACTTGCCGTGGAAGTGCGAAAACGAACGCCACTCCTACGAGAAATGCGAGTACGAACTCGTCATGGAACGTATGCTCCAGATGCAAAAGATCCGTGAAGAGGAGACCAAATTGAAGACTTCCAAGGGCGCCGCCATCCCTCTCATTCCCAAAACTGCCAACGCTTCCTAATCATTTGCCTTCTTCTTTTTATTTGATGGTGAGTTTTTCTTTCTTGATTTATTTGTTTTTCTATCACGTTGTTTAGCTAATCTAGGGTTTGACGTGATAGATAATTTTTTTTATTTCAATCTATGCTGTGTTTTTGAAATTATGTGGTCTCGATTCATGGCCTGCGCTTAAATATAGGGTTTCATGCTGATTATTTAGAGTTTTTTTCCTTGAATTTTTTTTTTTTTTTTTAATGGATTTTTTCAGTTCAAAGCTGATTTAATTAATAGGACTTCTGCCTAATATAGGGTTGGTGTTTTTGCTCAGGGCTACTTGTAATATCATTTATATATGACTTAGTATGTACACTGTTTAGGAATGTTTTAGTGATTTTCTTGGTTTTTTATTTATCTAATCTTTTGTTTTGAATTTTGGGGTTCATGAACGTTTAGTTTTTATATTATCATAAGTTTGAAAATTAAGTTTAGGAGAAACCATCGTATGACATTGTGACTTCACTCATTAAAAAGTATTACTCATGATGGAGTAACTAGAATTTTAGCTAAGGGGATGGGAATTGATACTTATTGTAATAATTGGACGCATTTTTGGTAGTGATAAAATCCTACTTACTCTTCCTGTGGGATCTTGAAAGTTATTTAAATAGTTATAAATGCTAAAATTAGTATCAGCATATGTATAAAGGTGGGTAATGGGCTGATTGTGGTCAATGTGAGGTCTTTGTTGCAATTGTGTGTCACAAATTTGTTAAAGTGTTGGTGGGGGTACTTAAGAAATGGGGTGTATTGAATTAGGTGGTTGTAAATTGTTTATGTTTTGAGCCAGGATTTTTTGGGGACAAAGAGATATGAACATGACCCAATTAGTTTCTAAGACCGGGTTTGAACAAGCATTTAGATTTGAGGTTATAGGTCTTTTATTTTTTAGTAGTATCAGGTTTGTTTAAACTGTCCCAATTGTTTTGTATACAATGATGTTTAATCAAAGTGAATATCCTTTTTTAGATTTTTATATTCTTTGCAAAACATAATAGGAATGTTGCAAATTTCTACTTTGATTTGCTTGAATGAGGTGGCTCACATTAATTAGTTGGCTCATATTGTTAAACCTTTTCAGATTGCAGTTCTTTGTTTCTTTTCATTATTACAATCTAAAGGATGTATTCATTTAGATTAAGTATTTTGTTCTTTCCTTTCAACACTATGGAAACCAAAAAACAAGGTTTCTAATATTGGCTTTCTTTTTACCTATACGTTTACTATTATGGTGGGATCCTAATGAAATGACAAGAGGCTCTAGCTGTTTCCCATTGAAGTCAATTTTTAGCCTAATGTTTCTTTCCAATATGAATTAGTATCAGTTTGTAATGGAGCAAGAATAAGGCTCTGGTAAGAGAAATAGATTGAGGAACTTGTTCTGTGGTTTATGAGCATTCGACTTCTTATGATTCTCCTATTGCTATGGTGACAATATCTACTTCTAAGTGGGGTTGGGCCAAAAGTTTTTAGAAACCTTAATGATAGAGATACTAAGGAGTGAGCCAAGCCTCTTAGGATGATTGAAAGGGTCTCTGTCAATTAATTGGTGGAAGATAGAAGAGTTTGGCTCCAGAAAATTGATGAAGTATTTATTTCAATCCTTCCTTTTTAACAACTACAAAGATTTTTTTTTCAATTCTCCCTTCTTTTAGCCATCAAAAAAGATAGAAAGGTAGAAGTTCCGTTATAGATGAAGGCTATGGCTTGATATATTGCACACAGTATAATCTGTATTGGTGATGTTATCCAAAGAAAATTCTCCAAGATAAATTTATCCCCCAAATGATGTATAATGTATAAGGGGGATACTTGATTATTGATCGTCTCTTCTTGCACTGCCCCATTTCTCTTCATCTCTTGTACATCTTTTTAAGGCTTTTAACCTTATTTTGGTGCTGCCTGTTTCTAGTTGCTCACTTTTTTATTTGAAAGATTGCCCATCATCAAGGGAATAAGGAAACTGCAATCTTATGGGATTGTACTGTCTTGGTTGTTTTATAAATCATTTGGATTGAGTTAAACAAAATTCTTTTAATGATCATAGAGGATAGGGTTATCCATTTTTTATGGTACAGAGCCAAGTTTTGAGTTTTCTTCTACGCCTCACACTCTCAAGAGTTCATAGGAGTGTTTTCTTTTTATTCACCACAATGGAAGTGGCAGTGACATAATTCTTTAATATATTTTCTGATTTTGGGGCCTACTTTTCTGTTTTTGGGCAGTGTTGCATCCACTTGTGGTTGGAAGGTTTTCTTGGATACTAACTTTTTTAACTTGTTATCGTAGCAGTTCTGAGGCCTTTTCGATGTTTTTTTATCTGCACTACGTGAGTAACTAGAGATAATCAGTCTTGAAGCTACCTTTTGAACAACTTGTTCACTTTTTTTGTATATTTTTCTAATTCAGGCATCTGTAAATTTTGCTTATATACTTATGGCTATAGTAGGAAACTATTTTGTTTAAGAAAAGTTAGTCACTAGGCATTAGAAGGAGCATAAGATGGTATCCCAGAAAGCTAATGTACACATGCATTGGAAAGAGTGACTAACATATATATTGAATTTAGTACACCGCAATTTAAGACTTAAGTATGGTGCCATAACTGTGCTACTTTTTCCCAAAACGAAAAAGAAAGAAAGAAAAGCTAATGAACGTATATAATATTAGATAGCAAAACTACCATGGTCATTGTCCTTGGGAGAGCAAATTCGCTCCACAATCTTTACAAGCTTGACACTCGACCAAATCTAACCCCACAGCAAAATCCTCCTTTATTTATGACAGAAAATTCTTTGCAGTTGCAACCCTCAAGTCGTCTGTAGTGTTCCAATTTTCAGTCAACCTACTCGAAAACCCATAGTACATGTCACATGGAATATCACTGTTATTGAGAATAGAGGACAATAACTTCAAGCCACTGTTTTTACTTTAAGTCCAGATATCAATTTACTTGCTGGTTTATGAACTAGAAAGTCTTTGTAAGCACATATGCTGTAGAAATGTGGCCCCATCCTTTTTGTTAACTCTTGAGGTAACAAAAAGTAATTGTGCCTATACTTTGCTGAAGGAAGTAATGTTATCAATCAGAGAAATGGTTTTGAAAATATTCTAATTTATAAGTTACCCTTATATAGAGCAGGCAAGAAGCTCTTTCATTTTCCTTGATTTCCATCTTTTGTTTGAAATTGAGGAGAAATGGATAAAATGCTTAGGTAAACTTTTTAAATATTTTCCACTATTGGATTCTTGAAAGGTTATATATGAAAGGAAAATGTAAGAGGCATTCAAGTGCATTGGTTTTTATTTGTTAATGCAAGTGCAAGCATTGGTCTATTTCACATACATGCTAGCTTTCCACTTTTTCAACAAGCTTTTTATTCCTTTTCTTTATTTTCCTTCAAAATTGACTTAATCTAAGGTGCTACTAGAGTCAAGCCTGAAGTTTCTTTGTTTTAACTGCCAATATTGGTCTACATTTTGGTACTATATTGGAGTTGAGGCGGTGAAACAATGTTTAGTCAGAAGTGTTGTTATTTAGATATAAGGAAGTTCTGTTTTCCTTTTTCCTTTCCTTTTTTATTTTTGGTATAGAACGGATAATATTTTGGTGGATCATCCAATTTTTGATTGCTTATACTAAGGACCTACAGATTTTTATTCGCTTGGTATTTGGTGGTTACATTAGATTTGGACATATTGGGCTGGAAATTCCATTTGGAATAAAAAAAATCTTCCAGTTATTCAATGTGGAGCATTTCAAAGGGAATGAAACACCTCTGGTGGAGATTAAATTTGAACTTGCAATGCTTTTCTCTTCACTGGAAAGCACTGCTGTTCATTGTTTAATTTCCTTTAGAATAATAATGTAGATACTTGATTGTTTATTTCTTATTATTATAGTTGTTGATGAATTGATGTAGGGCAAGAAATGTCTTTATACTAATCAGTGGACCATAATAAATACAGAGAGAATTACATAGAAAGGAAAAAGAGGAAGGTAGAGAAAAGATTAGAAATTAGAGATTGAAAACAAGAGAATCATGAAAGACAAACACAAGAGCACAATAGAATTTTAGAGTGGATGAGAAACAGTTTGATCTCTTTTTGTGTTTTTCATGGACGAGAAGGTGTTTCAATGGTGGTCATGTAAGAAATTTAAAGGAAAGCAAATGACCCCTAGAACAACCATGGCAGCAATTGTGCAATGAAATTTTTTGGGATTGCCTGATACCCTGCCGTTGTTCCCTTCTCGTCTGCATTTAAGCATTTCTGGAGTTTCATTGTCAATCTATATAGACACACTGATTAAGTTTTTTGCATCTTATTATTAAGATATATATATATATATATATATTTTGTAATTCTGATGTTTTGAGAAATACTGCACATGCAGAGGTGCGCTGAGATCTCCTCTTCACATGCGTTGATTTTCAGCTGGTTGAGCCAATTTGATGTGGACAATTAGTTTGTATTTCTTTTTGTTCTTGATGCTTTGGTTGCTTTCTGTTGTTTTGTGTTTCCGGTTGCTCTTTATTTTAGTTCTTCCTGACGGCTTGTCTGAATTTCTGACAGGAAGCAACTGCTGAAATGTGGATGCTTTGATGTTTGTTGCTGCTATTGATGGGAACTTATCTTCAAACTGTTTGTTTGGAACAATGTAATGATGACATCCTTATACTCGTGGCCTTTGTCAGTTCTGCAAACCGTTTTCATTCATCGAATAAAATTCCTCACTAATGTTGAAAATGGCCAAATTTCTAATAATATACTTTATCAATTAAGGTGGTGCTACTATCCTTCACATTAGGCAATCTTTCTTTACCCATTGTATGAGAATTAGAGGAAGTTGGAGCATTGGCCTCAATATGAGGCTCATCTTAGTTTATGATTCTATTAAATTGACCAAGAAAGTTGACGTAAAGAGCTTCATCTTAATATAAGATTCCTGGAATTCAAGAAAATGAAATATGCTAAATCTTAAATATCATCTTTAGTTTTCCCATCGGTATGCCTGCAAAAAGGAAGCGTTTATGTTGACATTTGAAGCCAATTAGACAGAGCAATATAGATTACTAATTGGTAGACCTAGCAAAACGGGTATTGTGCCCGTAGGTCCGTTCGTATCCAGGAAATTTTAGTGGGGAACAGTATCTATACCCGGCCCGTCCATTAGTTTTACGAGTAGAACAGGTGATACCTACGGGTACTCGCACTCGCACAAAGATATTGAGGGTCTTGTAGATATTGTTTATCGTAATCACAAGTTTGATTGTTGTGGAGGTCCCGTACCCAGGAAATCTGGAAGGTCTATTGTGTCTATACTTGGTAGAGTTGTCAAATGAGTTACTCTTGATTACCTTGTACGATTACATTGAATTTTGTAGAGAATATGAGTATTTTATAGTCTTTAAGATTGAGGAAGAGAATCGTGAGTGGATTCAGGTGACGGATGGATTAGAAGACAAGAGTGTTTTTTTCTGGGTGGAAGAAGTTTATATTCTATTGTGGCTGAAGAGTTTTCTGGGTATAAAGGGAATTATATTTATTTCAGAATTGACTGGGATTTGTACAATGACGATGACGATGAAGAGAATTATACATTTTCCTAATCCTCTCTGGCCTCCACCAGCTTGGGTAGTTTTAAGTGGATGCCTTGTAATTTAGAATTTAGATATGTAAAGAGAGATTATTAATTAATAATCGTATTATATCTGACTGCTTAAGACAGTCTCTGCCTCTATTGAAGTTGTTTGGGTTTCTTTTGGATAGTCAGACTTAGTGAATAGCTGATTCTGCAACCTCATCTTAATGAATTACTCATTTTTCTCATTTATATTCATGGTGGCTTGCCTTCCATTTGAACACGGTTTACAAATCCTTTTACGTTCAATTACAAATAGCTTAATCGTATCAAAAAGTATTCCAATTATTACTTTTGTCCTATTGAAGGTGTGGGATTATTCTTTTTCTGTTGAAATTACTAAACTATCAATTATTTCTACTGAACTTTTAAGTTTTTCCTATTTTTCTACTGTGTTAAATATTGATGATATGACATTTTTTTGTCAAAAATCGTTGCCATGACAATTTTAGTTTGTTGACTGAACATTTCAACGTGACAATTAAGGTCGACTTAGATATTTATAATCTAAAAAATCTCAAATTAATAATTTTTTTTATTATTTTGATAAAAACCACCCAAAATAAATAAAACTTACCCAAAATGAAAACTTATCTTAATTAAAACCCATCTTCAAATTTGGTTCGATTGGAACACAATAAAAAGAAAAATAAGTATCGTTATGGTAAACCATTTTCTAGTCGTCAAAATTATGGTAAAATAGGGACGTTAGTTTGAAATGATAACATTGACATGGTCATCCTTACAAGAATACAAAGAGACAAACTTATTCTGTTGTAAGGATGCTGTTAACTGCAACTAAATATTGACAAAAGTAAATGATGTTAATTATAATTAACCATCCTGAAGTTTGTCAGCAAAAGCCTAAATGAAGAGTGAGAAAGATAAGGTGTAATTGGTAGTTAGTAATAACCCTCTGCCATTAGTGGTTGTCGTTAGTTTTAACAGTAAGAATTTGAATGACTTTAATGCCGTCATCCGCCCCACAGTAAGAAGTTGTTTCCCTAAAGCACCCAACCCTCCCCCACAACATCTCAACCATCGCAACCAGCAAGCCGCTCACCGCCACCATAATTTACACCAAAAAGAAAAAAGAACCCTCTCAGGCATTTCATCGAATATCTATCCTCTCCCAATTCCGCACCTCCCCACGATGCGGTGTGGTTGAGGAGATTGGGATGAGAAGATACGACGGAAGGGAGAAACACGGTGGAGAAAGGGGTGGGCATGGCTGTGGATCACTGGGTGGGTATAGGCAACTGTGCGCACAACGGGGTAAGTGGCTATTGGCGGGGCTGCGATTTAACGTTTTGTTTTTATTTTCTAACTTATAATTTTATTGTTATTAATAACTATAAATTTAATAAGAATTGTTTATGCAATTTAGGTGGATTTTAATTAGGATAAGTTTTCATTCTGGGTAGATTTTATTTATGAGAGGTCTGCATTAGGATATCTGTATGAAGACATGTACAGAGCTAGATTGGGGATCAAGAAGCGGTTTTAAAAATAAGAAGAGATTGTACAAGCCTTATACAAGTATTACTAAGATGCGCTAAGATAGGATGTTGATGTTAATGTATGTTTTAGAAACCAATCGTATTGTCGGTTTCAGGACATTATATCTTTTAAATATATTATGAATAAAAGAAAATGTTCTTACATATATTGATTTATTGCTTCATTTATATTATATTTAATATTGCATATGAAATTTCTGGATGACACGAACTTCAGAAGATCAAATCATTGAAGAATTCTCTACGCAAGTAATGTTAATTAGGCAATAACATTGCATAGTAGGTATGCTGAATGTCTCCCTTGAATATCACGTGATGGTATTAGTATGAGTGATTATAAGAGATATGTCACTAAGGCATTACATGGATAAACGGTTAGTGAATTATTTATCGAATACGATCGATTACGATGAATAACATGGACATTTAGAATGTGGTCAATGATGCATTGTAGGATCATGCTAATATACCACGGATTCTTAGACCTAAGACATCATAGTTGAATTCAACATATAATGCATATGATTCATATGCTGTATAAGCACGAGACTAGTCATGTCTTGTGTAATAAGTCGGTTTGATAATATGTTATTCATGTGCGAGGACAAGTGATGATCAAGATGGGATCCGTTAACTGAAAAATAATTCAATCTCGAGTTCCTAGATAAATGTCAATAAACATTGGAAAAGAGAAATCTTCGGGCAGAGTATAATCTGTTAGCATGTGATCGGGTTTACGTAGTAGAGAAACACAGTTTTAAAACAAATAAAAAAAAAAAAAAAAACCAATCATATGCTTTAATCCCAAATCTGGGTACAGATTATAGTGTTTATAACCTTTTGCATTACAATAATATAGAAAATTCATACAAGGATTCAGAATGTTTACACACGTTTGGAGGCTCCTCCGAAGATCTCAGATTACGCTCACGAACACTGTTCATCGACACTGTTCACGTGATTCTTCGCTAATCGATCCAAAGTATGATCGCACTCACGGAAATCCTCACGAAGATAATCCGTAGAACCCTTGATTATTTTGCTAGAACAATCAAAAGGCTTCAAGAATCAAGAAAGAAGAAAAATAATTTTTTTCTCTTTCACTCAAGAGTGAAATGAGAGAGAGAGAGAGAGAGAGAGAGAGAGTAAAAGAGGTGGCTAGGGTTTTTAATTTTATTGAATGAATGAATTCCCCCTTGTTTTAATTTTAAGTTGCACTTATATAGTGCAACAAATAAAACCATATTCCACTTAGGAATAGCCATGGGCTCCAACCTAATTCACTCTTGCAACCAAACACACCCTTTATGATATTTTAATTAATTAATTATTATTATAATTAAAATCAATTAATATATAATAATATATTAACATTTAATTAATAATAATAATTCATTTAAATATATGCATGGATATATTGAAATATTATCTCACTAATTTAATTTTAATATTAAAATTAAATACAGGCAACAATCTCAACAAATTTAATTACAATGTGAGATTACCAAAATACCTTTTCGTCCTAAAAGACTAAAATACCATTCTCACAAATTGATTTTTAAATTATCTTCTAAGTGTGTGACCTGTAGGCTCTTCATCATATCGACAGTGTGTAGTATCGCGATTAACACCAATTAATTGTCTTACTATACACAAACCAAGATTAGCCCATAACAAGGCATCATAGCCACCCGATAGATTCAGATTTAGCGAAACCGCAGTCTGTCAATGGTATGATTATCGTACAATCCAATTGTTTCATCATCTGTTATCTCATCAAGATTGAGGTACAAAAATAGTGTCAACCTTAGATATCCTCGACATATTTGTATTCAGTTAATGGACCAATGACTGGAATAATAAATTGGATTGAGCATCAACTCAATCACATTGTGGCCACAGATTTAGTGTCATTGCCATTTATTGAATTACCCAGTGAGATAACTTCTCCCATCCCCAGGAGTGATGAATCTTTTGTCAATCCACCATAGTCTCGATACACTTCTCAATGTAGCCAATCACTACCGTATTGATAAATCTAAATAGAACTACGTTGGGCTAGTGTCAAACTACACCAATTGGTGCACAAGGCACTCTGGTTATCTCAAGTTTAAGGATCACATGCACCACCATCCGTTAGAGGAATTATTTCACAGATACTAGGGTTACCATCCATATGGAATCCTCTAGTGGGTCTGTCCAGTGAACTTGCCCCTAGCAAGCACTTATGCGTTGCACTAGGTTGTCGACAAACAACCTTGACAAGTGAGATCAGTCACTGCCTTTCGATAGGATCGTTCAACGCTATGATAGCTTTACCGTATTATTTGTGTCCTTGGTCAGAATAATGCTGAGGCTACGAACGTTTCTAGAATGACCACCATATGTGATCATAGTGTTCTAACTATCAAGATTTGAAACACTTGATACCCTCATCACGGTTCTACCATCCTAAGGACATATATCATTACATATAACTATGATTTACACGATATAGAAGAATATGCCTTTTATTGATAAATAAACATTTATTACAGAGTCAATCTTACAATAATTGATTGGCTCTAGTTCTAGTTTTTATTAAAACGCACAGTTTTGTTTTAGGTTTTTGGACCGACTATATGAGAAAAACTTAGCCATTTTATTAGGAGTTCGACATTTTTGGGAGAAAAGGAGAGAAGATTGGAGATTAACTCTTTGGATTCATCAAATAGGGAAGATTTTTGTTCTCTTTTCTTGATTCCAACATGTTGAATGCTTTGTTCATTGTTTTTATTTCTATTTGTGTGAATTTCAGTATGAACTAACTCTCTTTGGGTTAGGGTTTTGATGTAATTAGGATTTTTATGTTTAATCAATAGATTATTGTTGCTTTTACATTCTATTGCATGGATTGTGTGATTATTCTTGTTTTTATTGATTTTATTTGTTGAACATGATGAGATTCAGAAATGAATCATGTATGAGCTTCTTAGGGTAATCACCATTGTTGTATTGAATGCTAGAGATAGGTTTGAGAATCAATGAAATCAATTTAGGATTCCATTAGCTTAACGAACTTGGATTTATTAATCTTCAATTTGTTAGTGTGGAAGCTTAATAAGGAAAAGTAGGAAAACATAGCCTGAGAAGGTATGTTTTACACATTAGGAGTCTGATTTATAATCCGTGCATGTGAGTGTAGAAGTAGCATAATTCGTAGATTATTTCATAAAATCCTAGTGAAGTCAAAACCCTAACCGTTTGCCTTAATTGATATTTTCTCTTGAATTAGTTTTACTGTCATTAATTTGCCTTTAAGTTAGTAGTAAATTTTGTTTTCACTTAGCTTAAAATTCATCTCGCAAATTCAAACATTTTTCATTTTCTCCAACTTGTCGAACAATTAGGAAAATCAGTGCTTAACAAACAATTCTCGTGGGAACGATACTTTACTTATCACTTTATTACTTTTTGCGACTAGTGCACTTGCTATACATTGCATCTTGTTATTTTCAACGCATCAAGTTTTTGGCGCCATTGTCGGGGATTGATTTTTTTTGTGTTAACATTGAACTTTTCTTGTGTTAGCTAGATTGGAGTTTAATTTTTGTTTTAATTGTTTTCTAGTTTAAGTTTGCTGTTTTTCTTTGTTAGCTTTCGATCTCACACCTTCTTTCTTTTTTTGTAGTTTATGCGAAAAGCTAGACATCATCCAATGGTTCCTATTGATCCAGAGATTGAACAAACCGCAAGAAGACTTAACAGAGAAAGAAGAGAAAGAGAGGCTATAGTCATTGAGATGGCGGAGAATAGAACATTGAGGGAATTTTCAGTACCTACGGTTGATGGCAGTGGTCCAAGTATAACTAGGCCACCAGTGCAAGCCAATGCTTTCGAAATAAAGCTGGCAATCATCCAGATGATCCAATAGTCGGTTCAATTTAAGGGAGATCTGAAGGAAGATCCAAATTCACACATTGCAAATTTCTTGGAGATCCGCGATACCTTCAAATCAGATGGAGTGTCAGATGACGCCATCAGATTAAGATTGTTTCGTTTTTCATTAAGGGATAAAGCAAAAGGATGGTTAATGGCACTACCACTAGGAACAATCACAACCTGGAATGAATTGGCCCAGAAATTCCTCACTAAATACTTCCCTCCAGCGAAATCTGCAAAGATGAGAAATGATATCACATCGTTTCTACAGGATGAGACTGAATCATTGTATGAAGCTTGGGAAAGATACAAGGAACTACTGAGAAAGTGTCCACATCATGGGTTGCCAGTTTGGATGCAAGTCCAAACATTCTATAATGGGTTGATGGTTAATGTACAAACGATGGTGGATGCAGCATCTGGAGGAGCATTGCAAAACAAGACACCTGAAGAAGCTTATGAGTTGCTTGAAGTTCTGGCAAGTAACAATTATCAGAGATTGAATGAGAGGATGCAGTCGAAGATGTCTATGGGTCTTCATGAAGTTGATGCTTACGCGGCCATTTCAGCCCAACTTACAGCACTTCAGAAGCAATTGGGAGGTATGCAAGTGAATTCTATTCAAACACCTTAACTGACTTGTGATTTTTGTGCAGGTAATCATGTGAGCAGTGAATGTCAAGTGGGGAACACCTTCGCTTCAGCTTCATTATCATCAGAACTTACAGCACATCAGAAGCAATTGGGAGGTATGCAGTTAGTAACTTACAGCACTTCAGAAGCAATTGGGAGGTATGCAAGTGAATTCTATTCAAGCACCTCAACTGACTTGTGATTTTTGTGCAGGTAATCATGTGAGCAGTGAATGTCAAGTGGGGAACACCTTCGCTTCAGCTTCATCATCATCGGAACAAGTTAGCTACTTGGCAGGGAATCAAAGACAACAAAACAATCCTTATTCTAACACGTACAATCCTAGTTTGAGAAATCATCCAAACTTGTCTTGGGGTAATCAGAACCAGCAGAATCAGCAGAATAACCAATGGAATCAAAGAACAGTGCCAAACAATCAAGTGGGGGTGAATAATCAACCAGGGGAGCAGAGGTTGTCAAAATTGGAGGATATGTTCGGGAAATTCATGCAAAAGACCACAGGTTTCATGAGTGAGATGAGGGCAACTTTCAAAAACCAAGGGTCGTCCATTCAGAACTTGGAGGTATAGGTGGGGCAAATAATAGAAAAATTGAATGAGCGACCACAAGGTTCCCTACCAAGCAACACAATGACAAATCCACGTGAATAACCAAATGCAATAACGTTGCAGAGTGGAACAGTCTTGGAGGAGGTGGAAGAAACAGGAAAAGAAGAAAGTCCACCAAAAGACAAGGAAGATTCTGATGAGGAAGTTGACGAAGAGATCATTGTTGAAGAGAAACCAACCAGTCCCAAGGAAGATGAACCAAAGCAGGAAGAAAGGCAAAGTCAAAAGAAAGAAAAATTGCCATTTCCCGGGATATCACCAGAGTTGGCACATTACACCCTTCTTGTGCCTTTTCCTCAGAGACTTAGAAAGAAAAATCAGGATAAGTAGTTTACAAAATTCATTGAAATATTTAAAAAAAACTGCTTATTAACATTCCTTTTGCAGATGCCTTGCAACAGATGTCAAGCTATGCAAAATTCCTCAAGGAAATTCTGTCGAACAAAAGGAAGTTGGAAGAGGAGGAAACAGTGATGCTTACGGATGAGTGCAGTGCCATTCTACAGAAGAAGCTGCCACCGAAACTCAAGGATCCAGGGAGTTTCACTATCCCTTGTGTTATAGGAGATATTACTTTTGATAGAGTTTTATGTGATCTAGGTGCAAGCATAAATCTAATGCCTTTTTATGTTATCAAGAGACTAGGGATTGGTGAAGTGAAGCCAACAACCATTTCTTTGCAGCTTCCAGATAGATCAATCAAGCATTTGAGGGGCATAGTTGAAGATGTTTTGGTCAAGGTGGACAAAGTCATCTTTCCGACAGACTTTGTCGTACTGGATATAGAAGAGGACAAGGAAATGCCTCTCATATTGGGGAGACCATTTCTTGCCACCAGAAGAGCCCTAATTGATGTGCAAGAAGGAAAATTGTTATTAAGGGTTCAAGATGAAACGGTGACATTCAATGTGTTTGAGGCCATGAAATTTCCATCAAAGTCCGATTCATGTTTTAGTGTGGACTTGGTGGACAGGTTAGTAGCAGATGCTATTGAAGAGAACACCTCTCAACTACCTTTAGAAGCTTGCATTGCCCAATAAAAAACAATAGAGGTAGATGAGCCGGCAAAGAATGAGTGTGCTAGACTTTTGGAAGCACCGCAAGTCAAGATCCAGAATTTGAAGAATTTGACATTGAAAAAGAGAAGGAAAAAGAAAGAACGAAAGAATCTCTAAAACTTGAACTGAAGTCTTTACCTTCTCACCTCAAATATGTGTATCTTAGTGAATCAGAAACCTTTTTGTTATCATCAACGCAGGACTGAGTAAATTAGAGGAAGAGCGGTTGCTTCAGGTGTTAAGGGAGCACAAATCAGCAATTGGATGGACCATTTCAAACATTAGGGGCATCTCTCCATCTTTTTGTATGCACAAGATACTCATGGATGATGATGTCAAGCCTAGGGTGCAACCACAACGGAGATTGAATCCTTCTATGATGGAAGTGGTGAAACTTTTAGATGCAGGCATAATCTATCATATTTCAGATAGTCCATGGGTGAGCCCGGTGCAAGTGGTTCCAAAGAAAAGAGGTATCACGGTGATTAAGAATGATAGCAATGAATTGATACCAACTAGGACAATCACAGGTTGGAGAGTGTGCATTGATTATAGGAAACTGAATGAAGCGACAAGGAAGGATCATTTTCCACTTCCCTTCATCAATCAAATGTTGGAAAGATTGGCAGGCCATGCTTATTATTGTTTCTTGGATGGTTTTTCAGGTTATAATTAGATTGCCATTACTCCTGAAGATCAAGAGAAGACGACATTCACTTGTCCTTATGGCACCTTTGCGTATAGAAGGATGTCTTTTGGGTTGTGCAATTGATAATCCGTAAATTATACAGTTTTTGTTAGATGTTTTTGTTGGATTTCAGGTACTTTCTAGTGCATTTTGACCTGAATTGTTGCTTAATTCTTTACTTTTTTTGTTTCAGGTTAAAATGGACATTTTGAGCAAATAAAGACAAAATTGGATAGTTTTGACTCAGAAATTAGCGGATCTCAGAAGATAGGAGAGTTCCGGAGCAGGATAAAGCACGATGAAGCTTGTTCCCAAGGAAGAGCACCGAGAATCGAAGAATCGAATGAAGAAGCAAGCAGAGTGGCAGTTCTGTAATTTCAGAACTTTTCAAGGAGCTTCGCCCTGGCGAGGAATTGTCTTCGCCTCGGCGAAGTAAGCCAGGACGATTTGATTGCTTCATTCTTCGCCGCGGCGACAATCATTTTATTCAGTTTGTTAAACGCACAGTTTCGTGTTGTGCGTGTTTGGCTGGGTATTTTGACTAAGTATAAAGAAAAACTTAGCCTTTTCCCAAAGGTCTTCATCTTTTTAGGGTTAGCTATTTTTACATTTTTGGGAGTAAAACTTTGAGCTTTTTGGTTTGTTAAGGAGAAGATTCGGATTTGACTAAAAGATTCATCTTTTGGGGAGATTTCGTATCTTTCATCTCAGTTTCATATGCTGAACTTGGATTCCGTTTTTCGTTTTTGTGTTATTAATTTAGCTATGAACTAATCTATTTTGGGTTAGGGTTTTGATGGTAGTTTGGATTTTAAATGGGTTAAGTGTTTGATTGTGTTATTTTCATATGAATATGCTTTGAGTGTGTGTTACTCTGATTTTGAATGCTGTATGTGATGACAATGATGAGATTGGAAATAATTCATTTTAGGTCTCTTGGGTACCACCATTATAGTATTGATGCTAGAGACAGATTCAAGAATTAATGAAATCAATTAGGATTCTTATGCTTAATGAGTTTTAGAATTATGACCTCAATTTGTTGGGTGGCGGTTAATAAGGATGAATAGGGAAACATAGCCCGAGAGGGTATGTTTACGTATTAGTGAATTCGATTTACAACCATTGCGCATGAATGTGAATATGTGTAATTTTTAGGTTTAACCCAAAAAATCCAAACGAAGTCAAAACCCTACCCTTTTGCTTGAATTGATATTCCGTGTTTCATTTTGCTTTCTTAATTAAGTTTTAATTCTTTGTTTAATTTCATTGTTGTTTTTAATTAATTTGCTCCCACCAATCCAAAGATTCGATTGCTTCAACTTGATAACATTAGGAAAGTTAGTGCTTTGCTAACAATCCTAGTGGGAACGATATCCTACTCATCATTTTATTACTTGAGCGACTAGTGCACTTGCTATTTTTCATGTTGTAAGAAACACACATCAAGTTTTTGGCGCCGTTGCCGGGATTATTTTAAGTTAACATTGAGTTTTTCCTTAAGTTTAGCTAGATTGAAGTTTAATTTTTGTTTTTAATTTTCATTAGAGTTGTGATCTCACTTTTCTTTTACTTGTGTTTGTTCAGTTTATGCGAAGAGCAAGACGTCAACCAGTGGTTCCTGTTGACCTGAACTTGAGAACACGTGAGAAGACGTAACAGAGAGAGAAGAGAAAGAGAAAATCTTACTGCAGAATCTGAAGAAGTTGTTGTAGAAATGCTACAAGAAAACAAACATTGAGGGAATTTTCAGTTCCCACAGTGAACGGAAGTGGTCAAGATTACTAGACCCACAGTACAAGCAAACAACTTCGAGATCAAGCCGGCAATCATCCAGATGATCCAACAGTCGGTTAGATTCAACGGTGATTTGAAGGAAGATCCGAATCAGCACATTGCAAATTTCCTGGAAATTTGCGACACCTTCAAGTTAAATGGAGTGTCGGATGATGCTATTAGGTGCGGTTGTTCCCATTCTCATTGGGAGATAAAGCAAAGGGGTAGTTAATGGCATTACCACCGGGAACAATAACAACGTGGAATGATCTAGCACAGAAATTCCTGACCAAGTTCTTTCCTCCAGCTAAGTCAGCGAAATTAAGAAATGATATCACATCATTTCTCCAAGATGATGCTGAGTCATTGTACGGGCTTGGGAGAGATACAAGGAGTTATGAGGAAGTGTCCACCATGTCTGCTAGTTTGGCTTCAAGTCCAAACATTTTACAATGGGTTGATGGGTAACGTGCAAACCATGGTGGTGCAGCTTCAGAGGCCTTGCATAATAAGACACAGAGGAGGCATATAGTTGCTTGAGGTTTTGCAAGCACCAACTAT